TGGGCCCTTGATGTAATACAGCTTGCGTCCTTAGACTGTGAGGACAGAGGCAGAGATTGTGGAGTGACACAGCGCCAAGCCACAGAGGGCCAAGGACAGATGGCCGCCACCTGAAGCCCAGTAGAGGCAAGGAGGGTTCTACCGAGAGTCTCAGAGAGCTCGTGGCCCCACAGATACCTTGATTTCTGACCTCTATCTCCAGACCCCTGAGACAATAAATGTCCATTAAGGGATCTAGTGTGTGGTACTCCCTTAGCCCTGGGAAATGAACACAACCCTCCTTCCCTTCTAAAAACCTTCCATGGCTTCCTGTTCCCTCATTATTTCCAGTTCTGTTCTTTGGCCAGGCTCCTGAGGCCTGCACCCGCCCAGCCCATCCTCCCACCATTTCTTCCTGACTTCTCTGAACTACAACCTATGCCGACCACTCCCATCTTCAAAGTCTTGCTACCCCTGTTTCCACTAAAATATCCTTTCCCTCCACCAAGTGTGTTTATTTCTGCCTTCCCTATCAGTCCATAGCCCCTTGAGAAATGGGCGAGGACTTATTTTCTTTTGAATCTCCCCTGAGGACACAAATACTCTAGAAGTAACTGATCTAGTCACCTTGGCACATGCTTTATCCTTGACCTGGGATGTTGGGCAGGCCACAAGCTATAAGCCAGGGACCACTGTTTTGCTTTTTGTGTCCCCAGTGCCTAGCCCAGTGTCTGACATTTCATAGACTTCCAAGAATTGTTTCTACTTAATCCATTTTAAAGATCAAGCCTCAGGTAGATCTATTTCGGGTCCATCCCAGGTAGAACAGCATCTGCCTTCTTTTAAAGGACTCACTAATGAAATGCCTTGAAGTTCTTCAGACAAAGTGGCTGGAGAGGGAAGGAAATGCCATTCTCTCTCTCTGGTAACCTCACTAATAGGTCATTAAAAGGACCCCAGCCTGGAGCCTCAGGAAACCTTATTAGTCCCCATGACCCATCAGGGAGGGTAGCCTTCCTCCCAATTATCAGGCTTACTATTTATTAATACATGACAGGGCTTCTTCTTCCAGCCCATTGTTACCTATGTTTCCAGAGCCCTTTGAAAGCATAAATAAATGATCGCTGGCTGGTCTCCTTTCCCCAGGACGTTGTCAATGCTGAGAATCCTGACAGTTTTCCAAGACATGATTTGCCACTACAAATGCCTAGTGCTCCTGTCTTCTCCTATTTACAGAGATACTTGATAATCCAAGGTGCCAACTCCTTCCAACAGAGACAGACTAATGCTGTCATAAGTCCGCAGGTCACAGAGCTGTGCTCCGGGCTTTTCAAAGAACCCAAGGCCTGGCAGTGGAGAAGCCATCTGCTCAGCAGGTCAGCCATTCAGATCCCCAAAACACCAGACCCAGAGAGCCTGCAGGGGCCACCGGGTGACTCTGGCCAGGGCAGAGCTGCAGGGGCCACTGGGTGATTCTGGCCAGGGCAGAGCCCAGAGGAAGGTTACTGTTGTTCTGACGTCGCCTATCATTGCCCCTTTCTACCCCCCACCTCACCTCTTTTACCCACATTTCCCAAAACATTTGAATTAACCTCTCTGATAGTTATTCCCGTGGCCTGGACATTGTCCCTCAAAATACAAAGCCCCTGGCCATCCGCTGGATGTTTAAAAGGTCTGGATGGGGAGAAGAGTCGTAGTGGGGGGTGGAAGGGGTAGGGTCCAAACTCGGAAGGTAGTTAGAAGCCAAAGAAAGAAGGGGGTGTTCAGTTTCCAGTTCCACATGGAAGGAGCTTGGGAGTCCCCACTCTGTCCCGGCAACAAGGAAAAAGCTGAACAGACTAAAAAGCCTGGAGAGAAAGACAGGCGTACACAGAGAGTCATGACTTACCAGAGCAGGAACCTCCGTGGGAACCCATGTGGGGCAGGAAACCCTGAACTGTAATGGACAAACTGCTGGGGGTTCAGTGTGGACAAATCTGAGAGTTAAAGACTCCAGGCAGAATCCAGTCATGGGAACCCCCCCCCCAAATACTGTGAGATTTACCTCTAGGAGCTCGACCAGATTCCCACAGTAAGTATCTGAGGAAAATCTCCCTCGAGCTTCCAACAAGGGTAGGGGGGAGGAACCATTTTTAAATACACCGGAGTATGCTGTTCTCGACAAGGCCTGCCCTCAACTGAAACCAGTTAACCAGAGGCTAACCTGGTGGGGAATTTCAGAGCCTAATTGACCTGGGGTAGGGAAATACCCAACTCCAGCTGGCTCTAGCCATCTCGTCCCACCTAAGGGAAGAGAAAAAACTAAGAAACACCTGTGAAGCTCACAGTGGCAAGGCAGACTCACTAAAAGGCTGAAACTATACAACACACCCCTTTCCCCACACCTCACCAACACATTACCAAAGACCTATTTAGAGCAGTCCCTCTTACCTGATACATTATGTCCAGCTATCAAGAGAAAATTACGCACATCAAAAGGCAGAAACACAATTTAAAGAGAGCCAACATCAGAACGAGAACCAGATAGGGATGTTGGAATTATCAGATTGAGAATTTAAACAACTATGACTAATATGCTAAGGGCTCTAGGGGCGCCTGGATGGCTCAGTCGGTTAAGCATCCAACTCTTAATTTCAGCTCAGGTCATGATCTCAGGGCTGTAGGATCGAGCCCCAAGTCATGCTCAGCGGGGAGTCTGCCTCTCTCTCTCTCTCTCTCTCTCTCTCTCTCTACCTCTGCACCCTGCCCCACTTGCACACAGGCATGTGCTCTCTAATAAATAAATAAATCTTTTTAAAAATATATGCTAAGGGTTCTAATGGATAAAGTAGACAGCATGCAGGAATCAATGGGCAATGTAAATAGATGAATATCCTAAGAACGGAAAAAAAATGCTAGATTAAAAAACACTGTAACAGAAATGAAGAACGGCTTTGATGGGTTCATTAGCAGATTGGATGTGGCTGAGGAAAGAATCTCTGATCTAGAGGATATATCAGTATAATCCTCAAAGACTATAAAGAGGAGAACAAAGACTGGGGGCGAGGGGAAGCAGAATATCCAAGTCTACGGAACAACTGCAAAAGGTATAATATATGCATAATATGGATATCAGAAGAAGAAAAAGTCATTGAAACAATGACTATTTTCCCAAATTAATATTAGATACCAAACTGCAGATCCAGGAAGCTCAGAGATCACATGGGATAAATGCCACCAAAAAAGTACAGCTGGGCATATCATTTTTAAATTACAGGAAATGAACCATAAAGAAAAATTTTGGAAAAAGGCCAGAGAAAAAGAAACACCTTACCTACAGAGGAACAAAGATAAGAATAACATCTGATTTCTTCTCAGAAACCATGCAAGCAAGAAGAGAGTGAAGTGAGATATTTTAAAATATTGAGAGGAAAAAAAAAAAACCCCACCAAACTAGAATTCTGTACTCTAAGAAATTATCCTTCAAAACTGAAGGAGAAATAAAGACTCTCTCAAACAAACAAAAATTGAGGGAATTTGTTGGGGTGCCTGGGTGGATTAAGCATCTGCCCTTGGTTCAGGTCATAATCTCTGGGTCTTGGGATCAAGGCCCGCGTCAGGTATCCTGCTCAGCAGGGAGTCTGCTTCTCTCTCCCTCTCCATCTGCCCCTCCTCACTGCTCGTTCTCTCTCTCTCTCTCAAATAAATAAATAAAATCTTTAAAAAAAAATTGAGGGAATTTGTTGCCAGTAGATCCGCCTTGCAAGAAATGTTGAAAGAAATTCTTTAGGAAGAAGGAAAATAATGTAGGTCAGAAACTTGGATCTATATAAGGAAAAGAGCATTAAAGAAGGAATAAGTGAAGGCAAAATAATAACTTTCACCTTTTTATTCTTAATTGATCCAACAGATAAGTTTGTTCATTATAATAATAGCAACAATATATTCAATTAGGTATACTTATGTATGTAAGTTATGTATATCTTATATACGTATGTCTTTTTATACTTAAGTATATATCTTGTATTTGTGTATGCTTACGTATGATAGCAATGATAGGAGGAAACAATAGGGTTATTTTGTTATTATAAGGTGCTCATACTACCCATGAATTGGCATAGTGCTATTTGAAAGTGGATTTGGATTAGTTGTAAATGTATATTATAAACTCTAGGGCAACCACTAAAAAGTTCAAAAAGAAAAAGTATAACTGATATGCTAAGAAAGGAGAGAAAGTGGGGTCATATAAAATGCTCATTTAAAACTACACAGAGCAGAAAAGAGTGGAAAACAAAAACAGTAACAAAGAACAGAAAACAGTAATGAATATGTTAGATATTAACCCAGATATATCAGTGATCACTTTGAATGTCAGTAGTCCAAATGCATTGATTAAAGGGCAGAGATTGTCCGAGTAGATCAAAAAACAAGATCCAACTATACGTTGTCTTCATGAAATCCACTTTAACTATAAAGACCCACATAGGTTAAAAATAAAGGGGTGGAGAAAACTATACCATGCTAACACTAAGAAGAAAAGAAGTGTAGATTATCAGAAAAGCTTATGATTGATCAAATGCACTTTTGAGAGAAGAAAGGAGACAAGATCAATTAAAGAATCAGAATTATATGAGTAGGGCAAATAAGAGACAGAATTTTGCAAGGGAACACATTTAGAAAGTGGGTATCTAGGCTTATGGTGGCTTGAGATGAGTTATTGAACTTATTCCGTAGGCATTTTTGCCAGTTCTCAGCAACTTTGTGACCCCCAAATACTCAAAATACTGTGTACATTCCTAAAACAGAGTGAAGGAGTCCCACTCCCTCTCTAGGAAATGTAAAAATGTGAAATGCAGGCTAGATCTGGCCTGGGGGATGTGTCAGAGTGAGCTGTAACAGCTGTAGGTGAACACCCACCTTCTCTTCAATTTCCCTCCCTGTCAGTGGTGTCATGGCTGTCCTCAGCCCTGGGCTAGTCCCGGGTCTCCTTCACAAGGAGCCTGCTTTGATGAAGGTTCGTGTTACATCATCAAATCATCTACAGTCCAGAAATGTTTGCATTTTCACTGCGCACTGAACAACCTTCCAGACCCAACTGTCTCTCTCTAAGGTAGCTGAGTGTAGCAGGATGACTTCTTTTCAATCATGCAGTTTTCTAGAAGTCTCAAAACTCCAGGCACTATGGCAAATGGGAGCAGAGAAAACTATGGAAGGAAAAATGTGCCTTTATTATTGGCACCCCAGTAGTAACAAGCACACCCACCACCCAGATCTTGGTTTCTAAATACCATTCTCCAACAAAAGGAACCAGGGCTCCTTGAAGAAGTAGTTGATTCCAGGTCTAGGCAAGAAAAGCACTAGGTGATCCTGGGGCATCTCGTGATGCCAGAAAGTAAGGAAGTACTCACAAAGGATGAGGGCTTCCTGAAGGAGCATAGAAGCCAACCAAAGAGTGCCCAATGACCAAAGCTGGAAGAAGTTGAGCAATAAAAAAAAAAAATATTTAGTTGCAATCCATAGAATAAAGTAAACATGCATGAGTCTATTCTGACATTTAAAAATAATTGAACAAATAAGTACACTTAGCAATAAAGGCATAGCCCGTCCTTACAAAAAAAAAATTTAATAAGTGTAAAAGGAAAGAAGAAAATATAAAATCGCCATTAGAACTCCACAATAACAATTCCTGTGGGAAAAACAATCCACCAATGGCTGCTAAAATTAGTGGTCGAGAGTTTGAGGAAAAGCGGAGTATTTATATATAATCTAAAAGTACCTTTCCCAAGATACACATTAATTGTAAAAGGAAACACAGTAACTTTACATTTAATCCCTTCAGACATACCTTAACTGAATGACAGAGGGAAAAGCACCAGTAATAAGAACTACCGATACCCGGTACCCCTGGTATCAGATCAGGACCCCACACCCAGGACCTCATTTAAACTTAACTACCTCTTTAAAGGCCCTATCTCCAAGTACACTGGGGTTTAGGGTTTCAGCCTATGAATTTGGAAGGGAAAACAATTCAGTTCGTAGCACCTGAGAACCTTGAGAACCACAATCTAATCATGAAAATACATTAGACAAACCCAAATCATCCATGAAACCACTTGTAAGTGCTCTTCAAAAGTGTCCAGGTCATGAAAGACAAAGACGAATGGTCATAGGTTGAAGGATATTAAGAGACATGACAATTAAATGCAACATGGGACCTGGGATTGAATCCTGTGACAGAAAAGGACATGAATGGGGAAATGGATTAAATCTGAATAAAGTCTCCAGTTTAGTTGCTATTATTGTATCAACGTTAATTTCTTGGTTTTGATCATTGTGCAATGGTGATACGAAATGCTAACATTACGGCAGCTGGGTGAAGGGTACACTGAAATGCTCTGTGCTGTTTTTACAACTTTACTCTAAAATTATTTCAAAATAAAAAGAGGTTTTTTTAAATGTCCCTTCAAATCACACCCCGCACAATGTGGGGGGAGTATAGACCCTCAAGCGTCTTCTCTTTTTTGTGGGGGGAAGGGTTGGGGAGACAACACAAATAACTGCACAATTTCCCCACCACCCTCCCGGAAGTGACAGAGAGCAGGAGACAGGAAGACTCAAAGTGAAAGACAGATTTTTTAAAAGCCGGTTTCATGGAGGTCAGTGTGGAGCATGGAATCTGCAATAAGAGAGATGGGGGCTGGCCTACTTCCAGGTGTCCAGCTCAGAGACCGATCATGACCCTTTATTTTAAGACCGTCAGCTGTGTGTGTCCACAAAAGAGAAAGAGAGGACTCTGTTTCCACACAAACAGCCCCGTGGACGTCGACCACTGGCTGCTCACCCTCCCAGCTAGTTGATTCTGTGGCTCTGAGAGCCCCGAGGCTGATTATTGTAGGGATTAGCACCTGACAGCCTGCACAACCCAGATAATTCCTTTTATTTAGGACAATCCACAATAAAGTGGATGGCCAACCCCTCACCCACCTCCCACTCTCCCGGCCATCTTTCAGCTTTGTGGTTCTAAGCATTTTTGTTCTCATTCATTTTGCAAAGGCTTTTTTTCTTTTTTTTCTGAGTACCTACCTTGTTTAAGACATCAGTAAGCCCAAAAGATAGAAAATAACTCTTAGATAAGAATGGACTGCTAACACATAGTAGGCTCACCAGAAAGAGTTTGCTGAATTGACTTCGATGCCTCCTGTGGATTACATCCAGAAAGCTTTTCTGTACTTAGATTGTGGTCTTTCTGGCCATAAGCTCTCCTAAGCACAGTGGCCAGAATAGAATATAAATTGCTGGGCCAAGGTGTAGCTACAAAGGTTTCTAAAGATGTACTCTTTAACATAGTTGACTCCTCTCTTCAAGATGCACTGTGAACGCTGGATAAAAGATAAAAATAGAAATAATAAAAATAATAATAGTGGTCAGCTATCATCGGGTGTTTACCATGTGCCATGTGTGTAAACCTCCCAACAACAACCCTAGTATGTAGGGGTTAGTACAAGTTTGCAGATGGCTAGTAAAGAGGCAAAGCCTAGACACAAGCCAAGCACCTGGACTGGAGTCCATGCTCTAAACCAGCGGACTCCACTTCCCTTCCCGTTCCTTAATTCTGCTCTAGCCTTACTGCAGGACTTCAGGCAAGTCTTTACAATTCCCTGGGCCCCTGCCTACCTGCCGATAATATGGGGATAATAATCCCATCTTGCCTACTTCAAAGGGTCAATTACACAAGGGTCAACACAACAAAAGTTGAATATCTAGTAGATCACAATAGACAACAGGGATCAGGGTACACTTAATGTGATGAGCCCCGAGAACTGTATATAACTGTTCAATCATTATACTGTACACCTGAAAATAATATATACTGTATGTTAATTATACTTAAGTTAAAAAAAAAGTTCTCTAAAATGTCTAGGACTCTGGGGCACCTGGGTGGCTTAGCCAGTTAAGCGTCCGACTCTTGATTTTGGCTCAGGTCATGATCTCAGGGTCGTGAGCTCCAGCCCCAGATCTGACTCTGAGCTCAGCGGGGAGCCTGCTTCTCCCTCTGTCTGCTGTTTCCCCTCTCTCTCTCTGACAAATAAATAAAATCTTAAAAAAAAAAAAATACTTGAAATTTGTTTTAAATTAATGTGCTCATAAATAAGCCATGGGTTAAAGAAATTAAGTCTCATTAAAACAACAGATTTTAAAAAAAGGCTAAAAATCCACCAAATCTAATTCCTAAGCTGCAGTGAAGAAAACTGGGAGGCAGCCTATTATTCCCCTTCAGGATTCCGAAAAGATTCGGCCATTTTCGGAACCAGGAAGCTCTGGAAGCAAGGATGGTGAAAGGTCTAAAATAGGAAGACTGGCTGAAAATGAGTGTAGGAAGCACTTAGACCTCAGGGTGCCTTCCCTCGGCACAGCCCAATGACAGCCCCTCTGTGCATTTGCTGGAGAGTAAGGCAGGGGTCTCTGGTCCAGCGCACACCAGGCACGGCTGAATCGTGTTGTTTTGTTTTGTTTTAAGTAGGCTCCACACCTAGCACAGAGCCCAACACAAGACTCAAATCCACGACCCTGAGGTCAAGACCTGAGCCAAAATCAAGGCTCGTAGGCCCAACCCACTGAGCACCCAGGTGCCCCATGGCTGAAGTTTTTAGCCATCCTAATAAAAAGAGCAGACTCAGTGGGAACTTATCCTGAATATCGACACTCTCTCCTCCCAACCTTCTTCCCTGACTTACTGTCACACTGGCAGCCAGGTTTGTATGCTTCACGTAAGACCTTCAGAGAGACTTCACTGCGGGATCTCAGGATTCTGAAATCCAGGGTCCCCCAGGATCTGGCCCAGCCAGACTCCTTACAGAGATGCTCACAGTCCATAAGCCCTACCAATGGGCTCAGGGCTGCCAATCACTTTTTTCCCTATTGTGGTAAAACACATATCTCATAAAACATGCCATCGCGACCATTTTTAATTTCACAGTTCAGTGGCATTAAGTACATTCACCATGTTGTGCAAGCACCACCACCATCTAGTTCCACAAACTTTCATCACCCCAGACAGAAACTCTGTACCCATTAAGCAATAACTCCCACTCCATCTCCGTCCAGCCCCTGGTAACCTCCATTCAACTTTCTGTCTCCATGAATTGGCCCTACTCTAGATATTTCAGGTAAGTGGAATCAGGCAATATTAGTTCGTTTGTGTTTGGCTCACGTCACTAAGTATAATACTTTCAAGATTCAATCACGTGGTAGCATGTTATCAGAATTTCACTCCTTTTATAGCTGGATAATATTCCCTTGTATGTATAGACGTCATTTTGTTTATCCACGCCTCTGCTGACAGACATGAGGTCGTTTCCACCTTTTGGGCCACTATGAATAATGCTGCTGTGAAAACTGACAGCGCAAGCATCTGAGTCCCTCTCCTCAATTCTTTCGGGTATTCTCTATTCTCATCACTTTTTAATTCCTTGTCATCATAAAGTGACAAGCCAGGGATCCCCCAACTATTAGAGGACAAGCATTTAGGATGAAAGAACACGAACAGGAAAAAAAAAAATTTGTTTTTCAACTTAGAAGAAACAAAGACTATACAGAGAGAAGAAAACAATGCAAAACAAAACAAAAAAATAATGTGTATCCTAAGAAAGATAAAAAGCAGATACCGTATCTAGAAAATAAGAAGAGTATGCTTTAAAAATAAAACTTTCAGAGAACTAGAAAAGTTCTTTGTAAATAAATGTCTGAGATCTAGAAATAAAAAGCTCAATAAATACATGTGTTAAGAGTTGAGGAAAAAAAAAAGAGCTGAGGACATCAGAAATCACTCGGGAAACAGAAATGAAGACAAAGAGGAGGAATAGAGGCACCTGAAGAGGACAGCTAGCGCCTGAACTAATAAAAGCTCTATAGATGAGAGAGAAAACAGAAAATAATAAAACTGTAAAGCAAAAATAATGATAAAATAATAATAACGTAACAAACAGTTGAAATTAGAGCTACCATTCGATCCAGCAATTGCACTACTGGGTATTTACCCCAAAGATACAAATGTAGGGACCCGAAGGGGTACGTGTACCCCAATGTTTATAGCAGCAATGTCCACAATAGCCAAACTGTGGAAAGAGCCAAGATGCCCATCGACAGATGAATGGATAAAGAAGAAGTGGTATATATACACAATGGAATATTATGCAGCCATCAAAAGGAATGAGATCTTGCCATTTGCAACGACGTGGATGGAACTGGAGGGTGTTATGCTGAGTGAAATAAGTCAATCAGAGAAAGACATGTATCACATGACCTCACTGATATGAGGAATTCTTAATCTCAGGAAACAAACTGAGTGTTACTGGAGTGGTTGGGGGTGGGAGGGATGGGGTGGCTGGGTGATAGACATTGGGGAGGGTATGTGCTATGGTGAGCGCTGTGAATTGTGCAAGACTGTTGAATCACAGATCTGTACTTCTGAAACAAATAACGCAACATATTTTAAGAAAAAAGAAAAAGAAGAAGATAACAGGAGAGGAAGAAAAGGGGAGTATGTCAGAGGGGGAGACGAACCATGAGAGATGATGGACTCTGAAAAACAAACTGAGGGTTCTAGAGGGGAGGGGGGGAGGGGGATGGGTTATCCTGGTGATGGGTATTGAGGAGGGCACGTTCTGCATGGAGCACTGGGTGTTATGAACAAACAATGAATCATGGAACACTGCACCAAAAACTAATGATGTAATATATGGTGATTAACATAACAATAAAAAATTAAAAAAAAAAATAACGTAAGAGAAAATAACAAAATTATTATTATACTCAGGAAGCTTTCCCCAAGTCCTTGCACACTATTGGTGGGATGGAAAACTGGTTCAGCCACTATGGAGAAAAGCATCGACTCTCCTCTAAAAATCAAAACTAGAACTACCATACTGTCCAGTAATCCCACTGCTGGGTCTATCTCCAAAGGAGATGAAAACAGGGGACGAGAGACACATGGGCTCCCATGCCCACCACAGCGCTATTCACAACAGCCAAGATATGGAAACCACCTATGCGTCTGTCAACGGACGATTGGCTAAAGAAGAGGTGGTACATATACACAATGGAACACTACTCAGCCTTGAGAGAAGGAAATGCTGCCATGTGGGACAACATGGATGAGCCTTGAGGACATTATGCTAAGTGAGGTAAGTTAGAGAAAGACAAATACTGCATGGTATCACTTATATGTGGAATCTTTAAAAAACAAAAAAACCAAACAAACCAATTGTGAAAGGCGTGAGTAAAATGGTGGTTCCCAGGGACTGAAGGGTGGGAGAATGGGAGGGATGTTCAAGGGTACAAACCAGCAACTAATAAGTAATTAAGTCCTAGAGACCTAGTACACAGTACAGTGATTACAGACAACACAGCTGTATTATAATCATTAAATTTCCTAAGAGATTAGATCTTAATTGTTCCCAGTGGAAGAAGTGATCATTATGTGACATCACAGAGATGTTCACTAACATTACAATGGCAATCATACTACAATATAAATGTATCATATCAATCTGTTGTACACCTTAAACTTACACAATGTAGTATGTCAAATATATCTCAATAAAAAAAAAAAAGAAGGAAATATCCCAGAGCTAATACACATAAGAAAAGGCCCGCCCTGTGTCCAGCACACAGGATGAAAACTGGCCCATGCCAACATACATCATCATGGAACTTTAGAGCTCTGAGGACTAACAGAAGACCCTAGAAGCTTCCAGAGAGAGAAAAACAAAATCGTGTGTAAAGGGTGAAAAGTCAAGGTGACTTCTGACTTCTTCCCAGCGCTTGGGAAGCTAGAAGACAGTGGAGTAATGTCTTCAAAATGCTTAGGGAACAAAGATTTCTGACCTAGAAATCTCTACTATTAAGTGCACTTGTAGTCCACGCACCCAGACATGAGATTTCACTGTGGCAGCATTTTCCCCAAACTTCAAAAAATTCACGTACTATCTTCATGACTTTTGCCTTAACCACAACGACTTTTTTTTTTTTAATATTCTTGCTCTCTTTTTTTTTTTTT